TATCCTAGGGTCCAAGAGTTTGCTAGAAATAGCTGCCAATTGAAATGCTTCTGTGTACTGATCCAAATAATCTTTTAACTAGAGGGCATGTACTCTAGAAAATCTCTGAAAGTTGTCTGAGGTTCGTGACCCACCTCATAAGAACTCCTTCTGGAACATTCCTGTCAAAAGGCTCTTCCTAACTTTTGCTAGGGAACTTTCAATAAAAAGGGATACTCCACCGTGTGAAAAGCAGGAGGCCCATAGACACATAATAAAAATGTATGACTGTTCTCCATGCTAAGCTGACTTGGATCGACCACCAACCCCAGCTCTATCCAAATGTATCCTAAGAGAGACAGATACATGATTTCTAGAATATACAGTGTGCTGAATGACTTACATATGCCGCTGCTTCTAGGGTCACAGGGCAACTCAAATGACAAGTATCTAAAACCCAGAAGTGTAAATTTTGTTATCACTGTCTTTTACTGTGCAACAAGATGGGAAGATTTGGTTACCAGTTAACACACAAAATCCACCTGTGGTTGGCTAATCTAAAAAATCGTTCAGACTTTCCAGTTCTTTCCCCAGGTAAACAGAAAGCATCCTTGCTGGGGTTAAGGTCATAGCTGAGTGGTAGAGTCCTTGCCTGACATGTGTGAGGCCCTGTGTTCAATCCTCAGTACAGTAAGTAAGTAAATAAATAAATGGAAATTTCTGCAATACTTCACTGGGTGTCAACTCCTCTTGCTTTGTCCATATGCTGCATTCCATCTAGCTATAAAGAACACAGGATAATTGTGCATTTATTAATATACTATAAATTTGCAGGTTGCTGTCAGCTAAACAGGTGTTTTTATGTACATAAATAATTATTCCTTTCCACTGTCACAAATAAACCTTATGCTTATACAAATCCAAAGCTATGGTGAGCTAGAAAACACTAGAGTTATACAGCATGAAACCCAAATAGCAGTTGTAGCTGTTTCCTTGTACTAACTAAAATGTGTACCCCAGCAAGGATGTTTACCTGGGGAAAGAAGCCTGGACAGCTTCTTAGAATAGTCAACTCCAGGTGAGTTTTGTATGTAACTGGTAACCAAAGAACAAGCCAGGCAATATTCTAGGATGGAGGGAAGGGCTCAGGATCTCCCTTCCCCCAGGAGCTACTGGCAGCTGATGGCTTCTCCAGGAGGGAGAGTCCATTTTTTTTTAAGGGTGTGTGTATTAGCTACTTTTCTGATGTTCTGATAAAATACCACGACCAAGGCAAGGGTATGGAAGAGTTTGTTTTGGTTTAAGGTTCTAGAGGGATAAGAGGCCATTGTGATGGAGCATCACTGGCAGGAAGCAGCAGGCACTAGGAAGCACAGAGAGTGAACTGCTAGAGAGACAGGGCTGTAAGCCAGTGGTTCTCAACCTGTGGGTCACAGCCCCTTTAGGGTTACATATCAGATATCCTGTATTATCAGATACTTATTACAAGTCATAACAGTAGCAAAATTGCAGGTATTAAGTAGCAACAAAATAATTTTAGGTGGGGGGGTTGCCACAACATGAGGAACTGTGTTAAAGGGTTGCAGCATTGGGAAGGTTGTGGACCAGTGCCATAAGCTTTCAAAGCCTAGAATGATGTACTTCCTCCAGCATGGCTATGCCTCTCACAATCTCCCCGACTGGAGACCAAGTGTTTAGATATGTGAACCTATGGGGGATTTTGATCATTCATATCATCACAGTGTGGCTGTTGGTCAGTAGACCACACACTTCAGGCCCTACGGCCATTAGTATATTGGCAGCACAAATTAAATTTGGTAATTAAAGTAAAAGAAAAAAAATAAAGGACATGAAATTGGGAGCGGGAAGTGGGGTGTGAATCTGGGAGGAGCTTGAGGGAAGAGGAATTATAACAATATTTTTTAAAAAGCTAGGCGAAAGATCTGAACAAAGAGTTAATCATGGGAAACACACAGCTGGCGGACAAGGGCATGTATGCCAAGATGTTCACCCCTTGGGTCTCATGCAAATTAAAACAATGAGTTATAACCACACAAGGCTCCCATAGCTAAACCCCAAAGATTGCCACCACCAAAATACCGGAAGGTTGAGTAGCAACAGGAAGTCATTTGTTGCCAGTGGAAGACAATAAATATACTCGTGGGTGGAGGCCATGTCCTGAAGTGTGGCCAGCCTACAAACAGCGTCACTGTGAAGATCCGAATGATCAAAGCCCCCATAGGCTCACATGTCTGAACACTTGGAGATAGCTGTGCTGGAGGGAGTACATCAGTATGCTTTGACAGCTTATAGCAGTGATTGTCAATCTTTCCAGTGCTGTGACCCTTTAATGACATTAACAATTAGGTAAATTGCCATATGGCAATGTCCTGTGCATTGTTCACTCTTTAAACCTCAAACTGTTAAAAAAAAAAAAAAGTCGACTGTGGTAAAAGTGAGTGGGGGAAAGCATGAGTAGAATCTTCAGGACCCATAGCAATGATGGTGCACGCCAGGGTATAGTGCCCTCGGGAACCAGGCGGGGAGTTGGAGGAGCTGTAGTTACAGGCAGTAATGAACCAACTGGTCAGGGCACTGGGGCCTAAACTCAGGTCCTCCACAAACCACTGAGCCAACTCTCCAGCCCCACAACAAGGAATTTTTAAACATCCAGAAAAAAAGAAATGGCCTCTTAGCTACACGAAAGATGGAGTGATCACAGAAGACCTTTGCAGAAACAGTGGCAGCTAACTTCATGTTTCTTCAGAAGTTCTTTTTTCATTTGCCACAATCCAAAAGGATGTCCGTGAAGGATTAGTAGGGAAATAAGTGGTATCAATAAAAAACAATTGTGGGGAAAGAAAAACAGACCCACAAACTTCCCATTCACCTATATAACTCACTCCTTACCTGATGATCCCAGACTAGAAAGGTCCAGTCTAACTGTATTAGTTCAACTACTTTTTAAAATAGCGTGGAGTGTACAGATGCAAAGAAGATACCTTACAGGTTTCTTTCATAAATCACTTCAAAAATCATTTTAACAGCATGCAAACAGATATTTAAAGGTCTTAAAAAAACCTTTACTTTCAAATTAAAATCTAAAATCTTCTGCGAATTCAGATGCTAAAAAAACTTTAAAACAAAAAAAAAAACCGAAAAAAAAAAACCAACCAACAACAACAAACAAAAACCCCTTAAGGCAGGAAAGAGACACTGATCCAAAAAACGGAGTCAGATTCTCTGAGATCTTGGTGGGCTTGTGCTGTGGACAGGACAGCACAGGAAACACCTCCATGGGAGGAAAACATGGAAAAGAAGGCTATCGACTTCCATGAGAACTTTGCTTCATAAGTATTCGTTTTGTGGAAGCAATTGCCAACAAAGAGGAAAACTGCTAGCCATCCATTTGTTTCCACATTAAGTTTAGCACCACCTGGTGGCTCATCTGAGGAGTCCTAACCAGTACCTGTCTGGCACTTTCCCTTACTTGATAGGTATCAAAACCTTACCTAAAACGAATGCTTCTCACTGCTCCGAATCTGTTCTTCCCCAGTTTTCCCCTCAAGAGGTATCATCCATCGTAAAGAAGTTTCACAAGACCGAACTTCGTCATTTGACATTTCTTTTACATTTACCCACCACAGTCTGTCTACATCTTATTGTGCAACTCGCATCTAAAGTCAAAGTTCTGGCCCATTGTCCATTATTTTAAAGGCAGCGGCAGGGTCGAAAGGAAATCAAGGCAGAGTAGAGAACAGACGGTGCCCTCTGTGTTTGAAATACTTAGGTTGCCTTTCCCTGAGTTTCTAAGAACTCCTGCACAGCGTCCACTTGGTCTCTGCACCACCAAAATGGTTCTTAGAGAAATCTCCTGTCTCTGAGGTTTGATTTATGTTCTTTCAGCCTCATGTCAACAGACACTTGTGTCTTCTGGTTAAAAATCCAATTCCCGTGATGCACGAGAGCCTGCACTTGCCTGCAGTCGCTCGAAGTAAAGGAATGGAAGAGAAAAGGGAGCAAGGCAGTTTCAGACAGACTACTACCGATTGTTGTAAAGAATCAGGGCACCCCAGTGGAAAATCTCTGGAGCTTCTTGGGAAATATTTTCTTCCTCGCACACCCACTCGCGTGGCTGAAACCAGGCCTCTGGCTTAGTTGCACACTTGCTCTGCTCCTGATCACCTCAGGTTTCTGGCACTGCCTTGGCTTCCTACAGAGTTGAGTAAGAATTCACTAACAAGACAGTGACCTTCAAGGTCAGGAGCATAGCCAACCCTGGTCTTCAGTCTCTGCGTTGAAAACTGCACAGAAATTGCTGTCACCCGTGCCTTCCACGGTGTTTCTCCTTAATGTAAACAATATCCACCCCTACCCCGGCCCTGGGAGAGGAATGACCTGCACCGACACCTCTGCCTGCTCGCAGAGCCCAGAAGCCGAAGCAGGCCCCGGGGGGGACCAAGGGCCCCGGGCTCACCTCGTAGCAGCGCCATGGCGAAGCTCGGATATTTCGCGAGGCTCTCTCAGCTACACTCGGCCACCAACCCTGGCCAAGCCTTAAGAGTGTGGGCGGCGCCCCGAGAGGCCGCGCCCCTGCCCTTTCCCCTACTTCCCCATCCCCGCCCCCGCGCCGCTGGGGCCAAGGTTACCCCTACTCTGTGACACGTGTGCCCCGCGGCCCTCCTCTGGGAATTTGGGAACAACCTCGGCCCCACACCCCCATCTGTCCTATCCCAGGCTTCTAGAAGCACCGCCCGCTCGCTCGCTCCAGGACAGGACTGGCGCCAAAAGCCAGCATCTTCCCCAACCCCCATCCAGGACAGAGCAGGGGAAGCGGGCGGGGCCGACTGGCGGAGGGCGGGGCCTGCGGACAGGGGCGGGGCTGACGGCAGTGCGGTGGGATTGGCTGCCCTTGCGCCTGCGCAGCCTTTTGGCGGAGGTCTGTGCTGGGTCCTAGGGTTGGAACGGCGGGTAGCTGGGGTGTCTAAGAGAAGGGACGGGGACTAGGGTAGAGCAGGGAGCGCCTGGGTCCCCCGAGGCAGCCCCAAGTGAACCCGACGTATTTTCCTTATATGATCAGGCCTCTCGTAGCCGGCGCTGCTGGTCTGGAGCCTGAGAGGATTATGAAAACGTGGCAGGTGATGGGGTCAGGGGACCTGGAGCGGGGAGCTGAGGGGAGAGGGACCTAGAGGGAGGCCAGGCTTGGGGGAGGGCACAGGTTTAGGGGTACACACGCCTCCGGCTGTGAGCCCTGCCAATGATGACATGACCACTGCGCAATCTGAGTTCTGGGAACCAGGTGATGGAGTGTGCTGCGAATACTGAGGCCAGGCGAGCTGGAGGCGGCCTAATCAGAGTGGGGAATGCGGGATGGGAGTGGGGGATAAGCGCTCAGGGCCCTGGAGGGCGGCCAAGTGGCCTGGGCTGAGCGTGGGAACAGGGCGTGGGTGGTGCTGTTGCTTTCTATTAACTCTGTTTCTGTTAACACTATCTATGCTTAATCCAGCTTTCCTCCCCCTTTCCCCTCCCCACCCCCCGCCGGCTCCTTTGAAGTGGGGTCTGCCTTTTTAATCTAATCTTTTCTCCCCTGTTTTTTTTTTTTTTTTTTTTTTTGGTAACAGGGTTACCTGCTGTCCTGGAACTCTTCCTATAGACCAGGCTAGAAATTATGTGATTTCGCTTAAATGCTGGGATTAAAGGCGAGCTTCACCACACCTGTGTTTAACTTTTTTTTTTTTTTTTTTGTGAAAACGTTTGTGAAATGTTTGTGAATGCAGACGTGTGGAAAAGTTCGTGTTGGGGGAACTTACTGTTTGCTGGTTCATATAAAAATTTCACGTTTACTTCACCCTGTGAACACTTTGCCACATGTTTATCTACAGTTCTAGAGAGGAATTTGTATGCAGTCACTGTGCGAAGCTCAAGCTAGATGAAGAGATGTCTCTGCTCTTGTATAGGTTCTTCTATTTCATCTGCCCTCCAAGTCACCACCAAGAGGGATTTCCATGTTTACTGTTGACTGTAATTATAAATTTGAGTGGGCCCTAAGAAAATCAGAGTGAAAAGTATGTGTAAGAATATCTGCAATTTCGGTCTCAGACAAGGAATTGAGGCATTTCCTTAACCAAATGACCAAAATTAACAGGCATGTAGGAGACCGGCTTTTGGAGGTTTTTTTTGTTTTGTTTGTAGTTATGTACAGAAATGTTTAAGGGTAAAAATTTCATATCTGCAACCAAAGTCATGCAGGGCAAAAATGGATAGAAAAAGTAGCAAGAAGATGGGAAAAATGTTACTGAAGAATGGAAGTGTCTTATGCTCCGTTCTGTTTCCCATTTGTTCTGGAAATTGATATTCTACACACACACAGTCTCCTTCAACGAAGCTACGAAGTTACTTAAAGTATTCTCTATAAAGTAGTTAAGTAGTAATTTAGGTAGGTACACCTGTAACATTATGCCTTTCAAAATATCACTTAGGGGCCTAGACATGGGACTTCTGAGCTAGTTTTACTGTTCTGTTGTTAACAGGGTTAGCCCCCAGTGTTTTTAGAAATGTGGTGTTATCTCTTTCTGTCGTTAATATTGGAGGGAAGATGTGTTCATATAAAACTGGAAATTGAGCAATTGTAAATCTATCAATTCTACTGTTTAAGAGTTTATCAGGGACTCAGAACAGTTCAGCTTCTGTCCTTTCTCCCACACTTTCTGAGCCCCGTTTCCATGGTTTACATAGTTTCCCCCCTCTTCCTGTAATATTCAGCATTGCCAGAAGCTACAGTACTGGCAGCTGAGGAGAGCAGGTGGCATCACAGGAGCTGCAATAGTTTTAGAATGAATTCATGGTGCTGAGAGTGTAGCACATGCCTGTAGTCATAGCACTTGAGAGAGAGGTTGGAGGAGATGGTAAGTTCACCTCAGCATGGACTAGATAAGGAGACCCTGTGTCAGCGCAAGTGGGAGACTGCTCATGTGCAGTCTGGTTTGGTGAGAACTTCAGTTATATGGCACATAGTAGCTTGGCTGCTCTGATTTTTACTTACGACAAATATCTGCTCTCCCGACAAGGATAAGGAAATCAACTATAGACATGAAATGACTAGCACTGGTTTGAGAACTTGCTTATTTTAAGTCTACCTTGTTTTAATGAGTTCCGGTGGCTATGAGGCATTGTCTTAGCCTTGACTTGAGAGCCTTTTTCTTTTTTTATTTGGTTGCAAGCTGATTGCAGTTTCTAAGAAGCCTTTGTTAAAATGTCATATAGCAGTATGACTTAGAGCAAATCTTGATACATCCTTGAGTACAAGTTTACCCTGTAAAGCCATAGAGTTGGTGGAAATAGACAACATTAGGTGTCTATTAGTCAGACAGCTTGGGAAACACATTTGTAAGTTCATGCTTGTGCTAGGAGGGAAGTGTGCATCAAGGGCAGAGCTCAGGGAATTGACTGGTATCTCAGCAAGAAGGTGGTAGGGTTTTGTGTTTGGTTAGGGTTCAGAGGAGCAGGAGTGCCTGACTGGAGGTGGGATCAGTAAGCACTAGTAAGTACTAGGCTAGCCAAGGTATACAGTGAAGTCTTAAAACAAATAAATAGAGATCTAGCCTAAGATAAGGAGAGTCAAACTAAGACTACCATGATGTCATTGGACAATACAGTGTTACAGGAATACTCGTACATGGTCTGGGTGAGAACATTCATAGTGCCTGAGGTCTAAGCTCTTAAGAGATTAAGAGCTTGGCCAAGCCACACTTTGTAAAGAAGTGCATCTCTTGTCGCTAGGATGCTTAGTGTTCCATGGTTTCTGTTTGTGCTTAAACAAACTTATGTGGACTTGTTTCATCCCATCAACCACAGCTGGTGTGGGCATTTTATAAGATCATGTGTCTATCTGGTAGTACCAACCACATGGGTTTTAGTCAGTTCCCAGGTTTGGAGCTGCTTTTCCTTCTCAGCCATTGACTGGTAAGAGTATCATGTATAAAACACAGCCTGACGTGACATTTTTAAAGGCGAAGGCTTCCTTTGAGTGTATCCTGTTGTCACCAGAGAAAAAGAATATGCCCTGTGGTTGGAATCTGGATTCAGAGACTTTTCCCAAGCACACTGTGAACATTACCGTTTTTAAAAATGCAGACCTGGAGAACAAACCTGGAGTCCGCTACACGCTGGGCATTCCTTCTACCTGTGAGCTACACCTTTGCCCACGGTGAACATTTAATTTCGAAAGCGGTTCCTAGTGAGGAATGTCTGAGCGCAGCATCCGTGAGGTTGCTTTATCTTATACGCTTAGGACTGGAGATGTAAATTTTACCAACTCCCAGGTGGTTTTATATATATGCTGCCAAAGAGAGCACTCCCAGGGCATTTTGTATATATGCTGTCAAAGGGAGCACTCCTGGGTGATTTTGTATATGTGTACTGAAGGGAGCACTCCTGGATGTTTGTGTGTGCTGCCAAGGGAACCCTCCTGGTGGTATTGATGCCTTTTCCTAGGTAGGAAGTAAGAGTTGCATGCTTCAGTCCAGATGTTTAGTTACTGGTCTGTTTTATTTCTGACTCCCTACCAACCTCGCATATCTAACTTCCCAGGCAAAGGCTTCCCATCTTAAGAAGCTTTTACTATTATATGCAGATTTTAGAGTGGTCAATTTTTACATTAAAAAAAAAAGCATTGAGATCTTGGTTCATTGTAGGGTACAGCCAACATGGTGTTGTCCTTTTATCAGTGGAAATGATTTATTTCTGAGATCTTAGACAATTTTATCACTAGCTTAATGCCACCTCTACCACAGTTAAATGTACAATTTGTTAGGTCTGTCTCTGGGCTCTGATCTATCAGTCTGCTCATCTTATCCCCACACTGCCTTGAATTCTACAGCTCTAGAGTACTTGCTCAACAAACCTTGCTGTCTTCTAGAGAAAGTCCCCTCCCATCCCTAACAGATAGGTGGCTGTGTGCTAATCCCTAGCTTAAACAATCATGCATAACTGAATCTAGGCCGGAGAATACAATTTCTCTAGGACACATTAAAAAACAGCAATTGGGGAGGTTATTCTGGATAGAGCATATGCTGTGCCTACAGGAGGATCTGAGTTCAAATCCATATTACATACAAAAAAGCTGGATGCACAGGAGTGTGTGCCTGTAACCCCAGCATTGGGGACAGAGATGAATGAATATTGAAAGCTTGCTGCCTAGACCAGAAAGTGAACATCCGGTCCAACGAGAGATCTTGTCTCCATGGAATGAGATAGAAAGTGGTAGAGGACGATAAGGAACATCCTCTCCTGGTCCTTCCACATGAACTGGTGTGAGCATGCACACACACACACACACACACTGTGAAGAGTCTGGGAGAGACAGCTCAGAGTAAAATCACTTGCTCAAAAATTACGAGGACCAGAGTTCAGTTTCCAGCACCCATCTGACAAGCCAGGTGACAGAGCAGAGCCAAGCTAGAAGAGTCTCTGGGGCATATGATCTTCCAGCCTAAGGGAGAAAAACGGAGTCCCAGGATCAGAGATGAGACTCTGCCTCAAAGAACAGACAGAGTGAGAACATTTAGATGGTCTTCTTGGTCCCCCATGTTCATATAAGTGTGTACATGCCACATACAAGTGCATACACTTACAGAGATACACATACATACATAGAAATCAAAAATATGTAAACTTTAGCCAATACTTTTAGTCAAGTCATTTTAAATTTCGTTCAGATCTGGCACACCACTTTATTCAAAAGTATTTATTTCCATACATTTTTATCCACAGCGGAATAATTACAGTAACTTTTACAAGCATTTTTCTATAACACAGCTGTAGTTTACAGACTTACCTAAAATGAAAACAAAACATTTACAGTAATCTTTCTTCTGTAGTGTTAGCTTTACCCCCTGAATATTTTGTGAACTTCCTCAGAGAGGCAAGCCTTCATCTAAATGCCAGTTGATTGCAAAATGTTATATCCAAATCTGGATTCTTTAATGGTATGACTTCAGACAGTAGTCTGCTTCCAGTGGTCGATTCCCTGTGTTACAGTGTAAGTGTGGACCCATGTGCCATGGCTCTCATGTGGAAGTGAAAAGACCACTGTGGGCTCTGGGGAGTGAGCCCAGGTTGCCAGGCTTGCATGGCAAGCCCTTCTTACCCCATGAGCCATCTTCTGTCCCAGGTCTCATTTTAGAAAAACAATTTTTAGTATCCACTGATGTTCATTATGAAGAAAACCAATCTTGTCGTTGGCCTTAACCTTATTTCCTACACTCTGTAATTCCAATTCTGTGATTGTGGCATCAATGTGTCAAAAAGGAAATCTTAGTTACTTGACTCATACACCAAGTTAACTTTAGAAACCAACTGCAATAGAAGCTGCTGTGGTGGAATGCATGGGTTTGGCCTCCATAGACTGTGTCGGAATGCTTAGCTCATAGAGATAACACTGTTAGGGGGTGTGGCCTTATTGGAGGAAGTGTGTCATCGTGGAGGCGGGCTTTGAGGTCTCATGCTTAAGCTGTGCCTAGTGTGACAGTCTCCTGCTACCTACAGATCAAGATGTAGAACGCTCAGCTCACTCCTTCTCCAGCACTGTGTCTGCCTGCACGCTGCCATGCTTCCTGCCATGACGATAATGGACTAAATCTCTGAAACTGTAAAGTAGTTCCAATGACTTGTTTTCCTTTATCAGAGTTGCTGCAGTCACTGTGTCTTCATATCACTGAAACTCTAAAATAGTTGCTGGGCTGTCACATTTAGCAGCCACTTGCTCAGTGGTCAAGTGTTCGAGAAGAATTTAGTTAATGCAAAGAATTGGGTTCCAGTTTGTTGCCATAATCTTCAATGCATTCATAGTTAAAAGGACTTAACATTTTGTCCCAAGAAAAACGAGGGGAAGCAGGACCTGTGACATGTTCCATGGAGGTAGGGAAAGCCTACCACTGAGTCTGACCTGTCAGGGGACCTATAGGAACCACCCCTAACTGCAGCTGGGGTGGCCCACAGAGAATGCCTGCTTCAGTGACATCTAAATACACCTGCTACTATAGGGACATGGTTAGTGCCTATATGATAATTCTCAAAACACAAATGTCAGATTTATGAATATGTGATTAGTCTTTAAGGTGCTTTCTTTCATGAGATAAATCAGAACTTGACAGGATGCTACACCGAATGTTAAGTTCTTCCCACAACAACTTCTGGGAAATATGTGGTAAGTCAGTTATTGCAACTGCTAAAGGCACATGACGGGATTGTAATTACTCAGAAGCAAAAGGACTCAGTGAAGAGTTCAAACCTGTGTGGAATTTATTTAAATTCAAAGATAGTATTGGCTTCATGAAGTTGGGAAGTGTTTACAATTAGCTTTAAAAGAGGAAGGGAACTCATTGCTAAGGGGGCCTCAAGGGTAGAGTGCTCACTTAGTATGCCTGAGGACCCAGATTCAATCCCCAGCAGTGGGAGAAAAACAGAATGTACACAGAACAAAAATGCTAAAAAAAAGTCAGCGTTTCTCAAAAGGTCCATTTCAGCCTCTGAGGATGAGGTGAGATAGGGAGGCCATGATGCTCTCCAGCCGCCGTACTTGTGAAGTACAGCGGTCAGCGTCCTCCTGTCCTCTGGAAGAGACTGAAGCTGTTACTTCATGCATGTTACCCTCTCCCTCCATTTGTGTAATTACTAAACTTTTAACTAGTGACCAACCAGTGGCAGGAGAGTTGTATCCCACCTTAGGGGGTGGTGTGGGGGACGATGATTTCAGACTATATCCAAAGTCAGAGAGCCATATTTGGGAAGTCACAACTTCTTAAAAATGCTTAGCAGGAAGGCATTCTGGGTGTTCTTGAGGGTTAAGGAGAGTGTTTACATGAGTCAATTTTGAACACTAAAGTGCATGCTACAGCAAATTACATTCATAAACAACTTAAAAAAGGTAGCCACAGATCGAGCTGTTTTAAACTGGGTTCCCAAACAGTTTACATTTGGGGGTTAAAAGGGTAGATACAGATGTCAGGGGCTGTAACTGAGAGCAGTGGGAGGGGCTGTTCTCGGAGACAGACACCCAAGAGCAGCTGGGTTGCTTACTGTGGACCCAGAAGGGATGGTGCAGGGGACAGTGCATTTGTTGCCGGATTTAGCCTCGCGCCAGGCACTATTCCTAAAGCTCCCCAGCAGGCAAAGAGGACGTAGACCTGTAATAGCACAGGATTTTAGGGCTTGGGGTATGTTGTATTCCCAAAACCTTCTAAATTGAGTGACACCTGACATCTTCTAAAGTATGGAGAAATCCCAATGTAATAATGAGTTCCTCTAAGGTTTGCAAACCACCCGTGACTGTCATAGGAACAGCATACTTTTATAAATATGCATAGAAAGACCATATAGGGTTGTCTAACCAAACCTCTGTTCTTGAGTCCAGAAAGTCCCCAAAAGTAAAACAAAATTCTGAGGAGCAAACAGATAAGCCTGCTATATTATTACTAAATATTCCTTTAAATCTTTCTTATTTCATAGTATTTATACTGATTTTAAACTTTGAAAAAAAGTGTTGAAAATAACCCGGGAGGGAAAGCTGGTCTAAGCTATTGTAGTCTTTCAAAGCAGTTAGAAAAAACAAACACAAATCTTGGGATAAGACTTAATGAGCATGCAGTCTCCTTCAGAGGCTCTTCAGACAACTGGGTTCTCGAGTCTGCTTCCCTTATGGTCTGGAATCAGCGGCACACTGGTTTGGTTTTATCCCTGCAACTAAAAGCTCCTCATTCTCATGTACCATTTCCATACTTGTTGCGGAAGCTTGCTGCTCTCAGGGCAGTGACTAGCAGCGGACGGCACTTTTCCGTCTTTCTCACCCTCGGCATCTGTGACGGCAGCGTGTCTAGTGTAACTCTCCCACACACCTGAGACATCTCAAGCCTATGGAAGGCTGGATCATCCAGTTTGCTTAGAAACAACGTTCAACAGGCTTGGTCTGGAGGTCACACCAGCGCCCCTCATTCAACAGGCATCCGTGAATATTAACTTACCGGAGGATTCTCCTGAGGCGTAGGCCCATGCTTTTGTTCTCAAAGCATCTTACCCCAAGACTGTCCACACCTTTGGTTTATCAATATATGTCATTCTTATGGTTATTGGTATCATTATTTCTTGAAAGACCCACGAAGGCAATTTACATCATGTGTTTTTAATATTATCTTAGTTTGGACATTCTCAAGTTATATACAAAGATCAAAGCTAGGCACTTCCACTCTCTAGAACTGGCATTTTTATATGGCGACTGGAGCTACACAGTGGCTATTCGTTCTCATGTGTCTTGGTTTAACCTGAAAGCACAGCATTAACAACTGTATACATTCTGGGTGTTTTCTGAGCAGCATGTACAAAAACTAACGACAAATGTGCGCCCCGCTGTTTAGTTCCGTGCTCCCCGCCGCTGGTCTCTAACACAGTTTGATCTACGCTGGGCATATTTAACAGTTCTAGCATTTTCTCAGCTGACAGCACATGCTTCCTTCTCACTCGACTTGAAAACACTCATCCTCAGACTTCATTGAGAAACTCCAGATTGAGACAGGCTGGGATGTGGATGGAGTCCATGGTCAGAGAAGACGGGTTAAATGGAAACAGAACAGGAAACACGTGCTTGGAGTCCAGCAGTAACTGCTGAGGGTCATTCCTCTCCTGTAGCTGAGCCTGTGGAGGAGAGTAAGATCACGTCAGGATTTAGAACTAAGTAAAATAGCCAGTTTCAGTGACTTCACAGAAGTGAGGGAGCATATGGCATGGAAAGACTTGTAAGACGACATGGGAGGAGTGCCGAGTTGGGACAATGTGGGCTCCTTGTGTTCCTGAGGCATGCCATGGAGACAAGCCCTGATCTAGGATTGTTGGAGCTAATCAAGCACCTTCCTTCTCTATTCTAACATGGTTTAAATGCTTCTGTCTAAGGGAGAAGGTGAAACTCTACCTTAGGTGCAAATTCCAAGGGAGGACTGTCCCCGCATGGGTAATGGACCAGATCCTAAGGCAATGGTTCTCAACCTTCCTAATGCTGTGACTGTTTAATACAGTTCCTTTGTGTTGTGGTGACCCTCCAGCTGTAAAATTATTTTCACTGCTACTTCATAACTAACTTTGCTACTGTTATGAGTCGTGATAAAAACATCTGTTTTCTGATGGTCTTAGGCAACTCCTGTGAAGGGTTGGTCAGCCTCCCCCAAAGGGGTCGTGACCCACAGACTGAGAACTGCTGATCTAGAGGCATGTTCTGAACAAATGTCTAAGCCTTCCTATGTCTTACTTTTGTCATATTCAGAATGGAACATCATAGAGAGTGCCAAGGAGGCAGGCAGTGTAGGATCAGCCCCTCCACAGGAGAAGTTACGGAGTTTGAAAGAGTGATGTTAACTATTCCAAAACTCCTGCTTAGAGACTCGATTGTGACCATCCTCCGATGAAGAGAGAAAGAGGCTGGTCACTGTGAGCATGTAGGTGAGCCTGCCTTTATGCTCCGTTCCTCAGCCTCAAATGTGGCTGTGGTGGGGAGAAGCCCACAGTCCTGGATTAGCTGGGTAGCACCAGGGAAAGCACTGGGGTCTGACCTCTAAACATCTGAAGTCTGGCCTCTAAACATCTGGGGTCTGACCTCTAAACATCTAGGGTCTAACCTCTAAACATCTGAGCTTGTGCTCTTTGGCTCATCTACTGGGTCCAGCATGGACACTTGTCTTGGATAAGGTTTCTCTCAGTGATTTGTCTTAGTGCTATCAGTTAGAATATTTAGGAGGACAAATCCTCTTCCCCTCCCCTTCTTTGAAGCCAAATGTTTAAAGAAAAATACAATAATCAAACTGAAATAATACAGGAGCTCCACAGCAAAGCTGGGTAGGTAGAAGGGAGACCGGTGAGCTATAAGTCATCTTCCTTAGAAGTTAGCGAGAGCTGAAATGACCAAGTCTAAGAAAGGAAAAGAATGAGTAGAGCCCGGGATGGTGCTGCTCACGCTGTAATGCCAGCACTGGGGAGGCCGAGGCAGGGAATCAGGGCTCAATGTCATCCTCAGCTACATAGCAAGTTTGAGGTCACCCTGGACTGTGTAAGACCCTGACTAAAACTAGACAAACAAACAGAGCTTGAGAGTCCAGGAAGCAAAGTATCAACATGCATACTATAGAAGTCCCAAAAGGAAACGAGGGAAAGCAGCAGAAAGTCATTTAAGTGAAACTCAAGCAGCCCAAACCCAACTAGCAGTGTATATGAGTCCATCCAAGCTCACTGAATCTTGATCAGGATAAATTCACACACTGAGACGGGCAAACTGTCAAAACCCAAAGATGGGGAATCTCAAAAGGTGCCACAGAGAAATGCATTTGTCATAGAGTATCCTGAAATGAGGGTAACAGTTGATTGTTCACCAGAAGCCATGGGTGTTAGCAAACAACAGGATGACACACCACCAAGGGAAAAAAAATGAACAACAAACAAAAACATCTGGCAAAATTTCCTTCAAGAACAAAGGAATATTTATGTCATTTCTGGAGACAAAGACACTTTGAGAAAAGCTTCATCTTGAACAATGATGGAGAGAAGCCCAGTTAGAAACGGGGCCTACAGACCCCTCATTCCCAGACACACTGAAGGGAGGAGCTGCTCTCCATCAACAGCGGGAAACTTCAGTCTCCCACTGATGACACAGTGCTGTAAGGTAAGATCGGCAAACAGACTGAAGGACTTTTTAGCACGGATGTTAGACCACTGGGAGCATGCCCTTGAAGAGAACAGGGACCCTGGACCTTGCTGTCTCACATTGCTGTGTGGTAAACAAGTGTTCTCTGCCTACTGAGTCATGGTTAAGTAACAGACACCACAGACTAAAATATCTGAACAAAAATGAACCTCTTCCCTTGCAAGTTGATTATCTCAGGGATTGACACTGATAGATACATACAGTTTCCCCTTGGGAGAGAAGGACAGCATGCTGGTCTTAAAAGGCTGTGAGGACCAAGAGTTGATAATCCAATACTCCGTGTTCAGTTGCTGGCACCTGGCAGGTACTGTATTTGTCACTGGTATTCATTTTGTAACATCCTGCTTTGTTTTTCCTACCTGGGAATTAACCATTAACTGCTGACCCATGAACTCCAGGCAGGAGATGAACTTGTAACTAAGGACCCTGATCTGCAGGAGCGTGGCCGAGGGGGGGATCTACACATCCTCATCAGGAAAATACAGATCACGCCCTGTCAGCTTGAGACACAAAAATAGATTGTTTTGGTTTCTTCCTCTCTTTGAGACAAGACACTATTGTTTCGAATAGTGACAATATTTTGATATAGTATAGCTTTCTAGAGTTCCAATGTTACCCAACTTTAGAGTGAGAAGACCTAGGGCTCTTATTTGCTCAGTACCTAAGCAGCTGGCTTCTGCCACTGTAGGTCTCAGGGCACCTTTACTGCTGCACTTAAGCCTTGAAACAGGCTGAGACCTTGCCAACAGGCAAGTCCCAGCAGCCCTTTACTACGAGGTAGAAGGTGAGCCACTAGAGTGCAGGGCTGTGAAGAAATGGATCCCCAAGGACTCTGGAATCTCAGATTGTTCTCATTTTGTTCAGTCACCAGGACGATGACAGAAAGCTCTGCTTAAGCCTCCAGATGTCGGCCACCAACTGCTCATATACTGGCATCTGAAGAGTGGGGCCATGAATTCAAAGTAATATAGAGAGTTTGACATAACAGTTGGATAAAAGAGAGGAGAAGCCTGGTCGGGGGGAAGGTAGGTCATTTATGGAGGGAGACACAAGTTTCACTAAACCAGAATGCCAGTAGTGGCTCTGGTGGCACCTGGTATGTTCTCGTACTGATGGCTGCATTTGGCCCTGCTGCATTGGTTCTTACAGAACAGCCTCTCAGAGCACTTGGGCTCCCACATCGTGGGCTCTACTGTTTAAAAGCCCTACAGAACACCTACCTAATTTTTGACAAAGGAGGCAAAAATACACTCTCAGGGGAAAAAGCCCATTTAACAAATGGTGCTAAGAAAACTGGATTTCTTATTTGCAGAAAGTGAAATTAGATTTGTGATTTTCACCTTGTATAAAATCAACTTAAAATGAACCACAAACTTTAATTTTAAACCCCAAACCCTGACACTTTTAGAAGAAAACACAAGATATTAGAAGAAGCATGTTCCACTGGAACATCAGCTGCTTGGGAACCAGGCCCAGCACCAACAGGTGGACTCTGTGAAAATAACCCTCTATACGGCAAAGGGGACAATGAGCTGCACTAACAGAAGGGCAGCGGAGCTATACCAACCACACGCAGGCAGGGAGCAAATAGCCAAGTTACAAACAACTGCAGAAATTAAGTAGCAAGGGGATAAAACTGCCACCAATAAATGGGCTGTGAACTGAGTATATAGTTTACACAAAAAATAGCCAATAGCTACCCTGAAAAAGGGTTTAACGCCCATCATTGCCAGCGTCATGTAAATTAAAATGGTTTCTACATACTATCTTACCCCAGTTAGAATGGCCATCATTAAGAACTCAGAGAAGAGACGGTGGAGAGAAGAGAACCCTATGCACTGTTGGTGGGGGTACAAATCAACACAGACATTATGGAAGTCAATTTGGAGATTTCTCAAAAACATAAAAAATAGAACTACCATATGACTCAACTATTTTGCTCCTGGGTATGTACCCAGAGAAACTCCATTCCCTACTACAGAGATATTTACACCCCATTTTTATTATTTATTCACTATAGCAAAGAATTGGACCTATTTGTCCACAAACAGATAAATAGATAATGAAAATTTGGTTGTAATATATATTACACTAAAAGAAAAAGAAGCTTAAAAGATTCAGGAAAATGGATGGACTTTGAATGTATAATATTACATGAGGTCACACAATCTCAGAAAAATAAAAGAAACCACATGTTCTTTCTCATGCAGAATCTAGCCAATAACATGTAAACAAGGACACCTATGCATACAGTATAACACGAATACAAGAGAACAGGAAAGGGGTGAGGAAGGACCGAGTGCAGGCAATGGGCACGAGCTATGAAAGAGGATGGCACGCTAACTTCATATCTAAGTCTGTCATGGGAGTTTTGTTTGAGGAGATAGACTAGTGCATACGAGATATTCCACACTGAGTGTAAGTTCTAAAGTGAAGACTCACAGCTTCCGTTCTGAATGCGAATTCTAACTGTACATGAGCTCGTTAATAGGCTTTGGGTCTCGTTAATTTCTCTGCACATTTTTAAAGTAATGAAGGTCATGGGAAAAAAAAGCCTTAAGGAAAGTGTAGGAGATTTAGGGGTGAACATGAAAATGGGGCCAATTAAAGAGGCTGAAGGGGCTCAAGGCACACACGGTTGACGGAAACTCAGTACGTGGTGTCACAGAGAACCCCTGTGAGCCCGGGACAGGTTAGCAGCTCTCAAGCTTACATTATACAAGTTTTAATATTTATATGTTTTAATGGATATGTGAAAACCGCATGTATTTATGAGTTGCTATGTAATGCTTCAGTAACCCTGGTGTGTGTGTTTAAGCATGTATGCTGTATCCCAGTACACAGGCAATGGTATGTCTAACAAGCAGCTTTGACTACTGGTTACAAGATCAAGTATGGTGTGGATGGGAGTGGGGTGAGGGGCTGACTGCTCAACAGTACCTCTGAGCACTGCATAGGAAGAAACAAGCCATGGCTGGCAAAAACCAGTTTTGGCAGGATTGCTATATTTTCTGATAATATTTAATCCTTACCCTCAAGGGTGTTTTTTCTATGCCCTTCATCCCTTAGACCTTCAGTCGGCTTGGCTTTTATCAGTCGACTTAGACCTGACCTCCCTTCTTGCAAATGGTGCTGTTTATACTGAGTTATGGTTCTCTTCCCCAAGTGGCTGGGGTTCAAATCCAAGAATGACTTCTTGAACCTGCACTTCTGCTTGAATTGCTTCTCAGTCCTCCACAAAAATCAGCAGCGGGCCGGGGTATGTCACGGCTTCTCTCTGTCTCTCAATTCCTTCTCTGCACCTAGGAGCTGGCTCTGTGTTCCTCCTAGCCCTTGCTCCCACTCAGTGCCCTCCCTCCCCTTCTTCGGTGAATCCGTTGTGTGGGTGAGCTGGCCTGCTCTGAGGGCTGTATGCTTAGCATGCCCTGGCATTTCCCACTGCCCTTGAGACAACCGCCACCTTTAGTCTGACTTGGCATTTGTCCCTTGACCTCTGTCATTTCCACTCAAATACCAGGCTAAAGTTCATTTATTCTTTTCCATGGGTCTTTTCAGAGCCAGGGCACTCTTTAGAAATCTCTAGATTTTTTTTTTTTAATCTTGGAATAAAATCCCCAGCCTTGCAAAGGAGAGCATCATTCTCTACCAATGCTCTTGATTTCTGGGGGTTCTTTAACGGTTTTGATAAATCCTTATTTCCCCAGTCTCCTCTCCTGGTCACGTTCCTCCACTTCCTATCCTTGGGTCATGCTGGCTAATACAAGGAGTCTGTCCACGTATCCTCTCTATGTAACTGTTGGAGAAAGGAGTCCTGCTTTGTGAATCACTACTGTAGCCAGCTCCTGTCAGCCACTGTCACACAAGAAGGACCTCCACTGGACCCAAACCTCACCAGGCTCAGCTTGAGGAAGCTGAGGTTTAAGTTAAAAACTCACATCTCAAGAAGGATCTACATATACATCTGTCCGACATGGTTTTTGCCTGCCTGTAGCCAAAGGCAAATACTGTAATTATCAGAGACAACATTTAAGAGTTCAGATTGTAATCTAAGGGAACTTTAATTACACGAGGGTGGGATTGATACTAAGCTCCCTTGTTAATTCCATCTGGTGCCTTGATTTAGCAAGGTGTTCCTGGGAAACGAGGCACTTGAATCTAAAAGCCATCCATCTCTGTGTGTGTGCAGTCAATGTTACTGTGGACCTTAGGATCCCTGTGTGTGTGTGCAGTCAATGTTACTGTGGACACTGAGGGTCTGTGT